TGGGGTGGAGGGGAAACTGGCATAGTGCTGGCCTCTGCCCTGTCTTCTTCCCCATTTTAATTGCATTAAAGAACATCACACATCAACAGTACATCTGAGGGTTGGGGTGTGTGTGTCGGGGTCTTTTTCACTCCCCCGTTCCCCGTTGGCCGTCTGGGGATGGGGTCTTGGGTGGCGGGGGCTGACCGTCTGGTGGGGCCTGGGCTGCGGGCGGACATGGGGCTTGGAGGGGCTCCGGAGGCGGGGCTGGCGCTCCGGCTTCCTTGGGGCTGTTCGGGCTCCCGGAGTCTGGCTCCTGGTTGCTGTGGTTGGCCCGCTGGATGGGGTGGATGCCGGAGTCTGGGGGGTGGTCGGTTGGGGGTGTGACGAAATAAACAATGAAACGAAATAAGCAACAGCAGATTTTGAACAAACTGAAAAATTTCACCCATAAAAAAAATAATGAAAATATCTTTGCAGTAACTGGACAGAATAAATTAGTTTTCTACACTCCTAGACACTATAAATGCACAAAAATAGTTTATAAATGCAAAAAAAAGTGCATTTAGCATGATATGTCTCCTTTAAGTGATTAGAGATTATTTAAAATAAATTTTTTTAAAATTTTTTTTCATTTTATTTTGGTCTCACCCAAACGTGACTGTAATAGAACCACAATGGCTACAAATACACCACAAAACAAGTTTATATTTCAGAAACATTTATGCTGATTGCTGCCAAACTGGATGGACATGCTTAGGAATGACAAACTAAGTTGTTAGTGACAGCACGGTAGTGATTGGCAAAAGTGGGCGTGGCTTGTTGATGATATACTACAAAAATGTATTAAAAATCAAACATTTGACCTTCAGAGTAGTAATCAAGTATTCTATGGATTAATCAGATAACACAATGGTCAGGTTCTGCAGTAACTACTTAAGCTTGTTTTATGACAAATACAATTATTTAATATTGTGAAGGGGTAAGCTACATTTGCTGATGACCTTGCTTCAATCAACATAAAATTAAGATACCAGTTGTTAATTCTAGACACGTTCAATGAATGGAGCAGCTGTTTAGGTGCTGAAATGTTGAGAACATAYAGCACATACACTGCACTTGTTTTTTTCTCTTTAGTTTAAAATGTTCCCCCACTTTTGACAATTTCTGTTTCTTTTCTGAGCACTTTGTTCTGTGACTCTGTCTCCCTCCATAGCTAAATATAGCACTTAGCATTCACACGTAGCTGTTTGCAGAAGTGCAACACAAATAAYATTCTGGCCAGACAAAAGTGCTCTGAATAGTTTACTAGTATTTGTTTTTAACAAAGCTTCGAGGCAAATGATTTGTCTTGAAGATTTTTAGTAATTGAATTACTCAAATTATTTGAGGAATCATTTCAGCCCCATACAGAGAGCTACATTTAGAGAATATCTCTGACTTATAAAAGATTTTCTGGTACTTTGGCATTTTAAAATATTTCTTTTTTGTGAGAAAGTCTTAAAAACGGCTAAATGCAAGTAAGTTGATGCCAAATTTTTAATCACTAAGAATATTAGTTCTGGATGCTTTCCAGGCTGATTTGGTCAAAGCATTAGATTTTTGTTTGAATAGTAGCATCTTTCAGCATTTTTATCAATTTTATTTATTTACACAGGATATATTCATCTTTTTTGTTTATGAAAATGTTCAACCTTAGTTGCTTGAAAAAATAACCATGTACAAAATGCATAGTTAGTTTTTATTTTTTCATTCTAATTTTATTGAAAATCTGGTCATTTTTGTGAAATTTTCTTCTGTTGGTGACAAACACACATGATTAGGCACACACACACACAGTTTTCAGCTTTCTCTCCTCAGTTTGACTGGACAAATCAGTGTATGTGTTGTAACTAATTTGTGATAAGAACTAAAAATGTGGAAGAGCTTGRAGAGGTGTAGTTATTCACTTAACTCCATTATCCTGTCAGTAAAAGTTGRCCGGATGCTGAGGACAACATTGGTCATTGGGTCAAGGTCGACATGCATAAACGGGCTTGGACTCCGATCATAACTGCTTTGCCATTCTAGTTGGAGTTTTTTTTTTTAAATTAACCATTCCATCTCTATTGAGTTTAGCATTTGAGGTGAAATGTACTTGGATTAAAACCTGATTGTTTGTTGTTTTGTCACTTTGCAATGATAGAGTTTGTTAAAATGGAGATCCTGGAGCTCATCTCTTCCTCCTCAGATTCAGAAACCACACAGCTTTACTAAACAACTT